CAGTTATCATTAATTAAAAGATATCTTACTTGCTTCTAGAGATTTCTAGAAAATTTATCACAACTAACACATCTATTTTATAAATTAAATAGGTTTTTTTTTTTATTTTGGTCATGTAAATTAAATAGATATGAAATCTATGTAACTAATTTTAATTTAATTAGATTAAATCGAAATTATGGTATTTTCATACTTATAGCTTACCAAATAAGTTTAATTTTCAAATTATAAAGATTTCTTGAATATGATTTTTAGAATTATTCAACAAGATGATAAATATTTATTAAATTTTGTGAATCATGAAAAATATTAATTATTTTTTAATCATTATATTTCACCTTTTAGTCTCTCATCTAACAAATAAGATACATATTCTATTATTCCTATGTTCAAACTCCATTGTGTTGTATAACTAAATAATATTTCTATTAGAGCTGTCAAAACGAGTTGATTCATCCTATTAAGCCTGTTTTGCAATAGGCAAAATAAATTTTGGCATGTAGTTAGTCTGTCCGCACGACCCGCGGGTAGCATATATGAAACACAAACCCGTCGCGCGAATGTATGCTGATTTGCGGGCTTATCCGTGGATTTTGTTTAAATAATTTTAGAGTAACCAAAATTTAAAATTCTACTAAAATAAATAAATTAGAAAAAATTTAGAGATAATAATCTTATATATCATTATATTTATAAATATTATAATTACATTTATTAAAAGTTTTTTAAACTACCACATGTTGAATAAATTATATTTTTATCAATAAATACTATCATGCGGGTTGATCCGCCAACCCGCGGATGAAAACCGATGACCCACTGCGAATCAATCCATGTGGCCCGCTTATTTGCGGGTTTAATATATTTTCCCAAATCTGCCCAATAGTGAGATGATTTGGGCTCGACCCGCGGTTTTTGACCTATTTTGACTGCTTTAATTCCCATGATTCGTCTAATTTTTGAATTCTAAAACACAAAATTCCATTTTGTAAATCATAATTAATATGATTGGTTTAATTATAAACAATTTAATATTTTCTTTACAATTTGTTATTAGGAATATGTATAAGTACACGATTAGTTCTACTAAAAATACGCACAATATTAAAATCAACGTATGTAAATCAATATTCTCCCGCGGTGAACCGCGGGTCCGATCCTAGTACTACACGATTCGTTCTACTAAAAACACACACACAATATTAAATGCAACGTATGTAAACCAATATTCTCCCGCGGTGGACCGCGGGTCCGATCCTAGTAAGGAATTATATAAGGATAATCGTAGGAAAAAATATGTCTTATGGTTATATACTCTAATAATGAGCTTCCTTTTCTTTCAATCATGCATAGCTATATCTGTCTTGTTGGGCAATCTATGGCCACGAAGAAAGGTGCTGAATAGATGCAGAGCTCGTGAGGGCTGCGTGTTCGCCACCGCATGAGCCGCTCCTCTCACTGTTGCAAAAGTGAGTATGTTTCCATAATCGATGGCCCAGCCTCCAACCTAGTCAAAATCCCAAACATCCACAATTTAGTTCGCAATCAGTTTGAGAATTGTGCTGATTGTTTAATGGTGTGTAGGCAAATTACCTGTCTTTTGTGGAACCACACTCCATATGGAACTGTCGTCTTGAAATTGAGATCGTTGGCGAGTTCTCTTACGACAGTTCGTGTTCCCAGAAATGGAACTACAGAATCTTGATCTCCACTGCCATTGTCAACAAGCTGAGTGTTAGGTACAAATACAGGAGCAGTAGGAGGTTTTTAATAGAAGTATTACCTGAAGATCCAAACAGGAATTTTGTTCTGTATAACTCTCTTCAGAGTCGGAAGCATGTTGATGTTTGCATCGATGCCAGAGTAGTTTAACAGGCTGTGACACGAAGTGAAACCAATCAGAGTATAGAGTTCAACTCTGGTTATAAAGATTCTTCATTTTCAGAAACTAAAAGAGAGGAAAAGAACTTACTTGCTGCACATTGACCATGAATATGGCAGATGAGTGCGGTTCGCATGAAGCGCCATCTGTACCTCTGGGAGATTAAAATATAACTGTCTTTCGTAGGTCATACAGACATCAACTCCCATGCTCATCTTTGTGGCCTGAAATCATTTTCAAACGTTTACAGATGATTCAAACAAAAGTTTTGTTGGTGGAACATAAGATGGAAAATGGCTGACCATTTGCTTAAGCCTAAGTTCTTTCAGGACAATCGAGGGGTAGCAAATGTCCAGGAGAAAATCATAGTTGTTGACATACTCAGTAATGCTGTTTCCGGCTTCACGGATAGCGTCGTTGCATGCAACACTTAGGTTATGCGGGTATATATATGTGTAATCCAAGAAGTCACACTGACTCATGATTGTGTGTCCCACTTCATCAGAGATCATCCCGTGCGACCAGAAGAACTCGAATGCAGCTCGGACGTCTCTGTCAAGCTTCAGAAATGGATTCCCAATCTGACAAGAAAGAGAAAAAACACACACAAAGGAATCAGAAGAGAACCAATAGAGTTGATTCTTACTGCAATGCCTTTGATGTTGAATTGAACCCCCTTGAGCGTGAATTGTAGCTGAGTATCGCATCAGCCAATTGCGGTATGTAATGTCCTGCAAGAATACATACATGTGAGAATAATAGTTCTGTTTTCAATGTCCAAAATCCAATCAATAGACTTCATCCATATGAAAGACACACCTGCATAGTTTTCACCAGTGAGAAAGAAGTCGCGAGACTTGAACTCTGGGAACTTGTCGAACCATCCCAACAAGAACACGAGCATATCGCTGGCTGTTCAAACACAAAAGATATCTCAAGCACAACAGTCTTCAAATATATTCAGAGTGACTGTCTATTACAGATTATCTGAAAATAAGATTTCAAAGTTTACCAGTAGACTTGTCACCGGTGTTGTAATCAGAGCTTCAGTTGGAGTAAGACCATCCAACTCCAACCGGTCACTCCACAAACAGCAGGTTCGATGCTACACATTTCACAAAAAGAGACAATAGCATCAGATTTATGATCACAGTTCTCTGTTTTTTGCATAAAATGATCAAAATCAGACCTTTGTTCCACGACATGGAGTTAACGCGAAGACCACCGCCATCGCCTGTGGGGTAAAATGGACCTAGCTCAGTGAAAGCTCCTCCACAACCTGAAGAACAACCTGGACCTGCAATATAAACCTCAACTACTAAATCTAACTCACACATTTCTTATACCCAAATGCCAAAACAGAACAACTTAACACTAACCTCCATTGAGCCACAAGGTTAGCGGTTTTGTGTCAGGGTGTTCTTCAGCCTCCACGAAGTAGTAGAAAAGGCTACGCCCAGCATTCATGTCGAGATCAACGTACCCGGCGTACTGTCTGAACGCAACCTTTAGTTGACCTGGAAGCCTCACAACCAAATCTGCTTCCGGATACCCTTGTGCAAACACCTGCACAGTCACCAGCACCACTGCCATCACCACAACCACATTGCGTAACGACACAGCCGCCATCTTCTACAGCGTTTTCTAAGTACCTGAAACATAG